ACAAACGACTGAAGAGTTCGGACGCGAAGACAGAGACGGAGCCAACGATTGACTCAAATATTTTGGGCTTTTATTTGACAAAAGTCTCGGGAATTGACGACAAATACAACGAAATGACGGCAAAAGCCATTGACTTGAAGGACATCTTAAGCGCAAGAAATGAAAGCTATTGTAAAGACTCTTTGGACAGATTTGGTGATGATTTGTGTCAATACTTATTGTCTTATCTGTCACTCGAAGATCGGTTCCGATTTGAATGTGTGTCCAAACAGTGGCAACGAGTCGTATATCAGACACAAAATCAATTGACAAGTGACTGGAAATTAATTAAAATATTTCGTAGTCATAGGATTCAATGCAACGGTTTGACAGCATTTGAGACAATACTCATAAAGTGTGTCAATATTACAGCAATTGTTTGCTTTAAACGCATCACTAATGATATGTTGAATGCAATCATTAAATATTGTCATCATTTGAATGCATTTAATGTTAGATATGATAAAAATATTAATGTCGACATTATGTCAAAGTTTTTCGCAAAGTTTGCCAAACAATTGAAAACATTTACATTCAATCATTTTATGGCATATGATATCACATATCCTTATGATACAACTTTTTGGAAGAGTATTGAAACTAATGTCAAGTTATGCACAAACTTAACACAACTGGATATCCGTAACTATGAAATGACTACATTCTCGCATGTCTTTAGTGATTATGAAAATAAGATTTTGTTCACAAAATTACGAAAAATATGTTTCGTTTATCGAAATGAAGACATGAATTGTTTTGAATTATTTGTCAAAAGATATGCCAATACTATGAATGCAATCGATGTTGTGATGGAGCGCTGTAATGAAGAGTCGATTGCTATACTAATGAATGGTTTGTCACGAATGCATGCATTGAATGATTTACGCATTGATTACACGCATATATTAATACAATCGCCTTATGACCTGTTCTCCGACCAATTGAAACAAATTGGTGTCAATTGTGGACAACTTAAGAGTCTGTCACTCATTATATCCATTGGCTCTTATGTTTTGCCTTACTTTAGTGGTCAGATATTAATCCAAACATTGAATGATTGCTTTAAACAAATAACACGTTTAGAAGTTAGTGAAACATTTAAAGGGAGTTTTAAAGTAAGGTATGAATCACTGAATCAATTGAAACGATTGACACATTTGACAATCAATTCATATTCAGTGGACATAAATGAGATGTTTTACGCAAATATAACCCAAAATCATCCTAAACTTCACTATTTGTATATTAAATACACTGACAAAACAGATAATGTATTGAATACCTTATCAAAAGTGACAAAATTACAAACTCTTAGACTCTATGGAAGTAATGGATTCACGAGAACTTCACTCCAGAATCTCATTGAAAAGTGTCCCAAAATTAACACCAATTTAATAATTTAGTAATCAATTAGTTAGCAAACACAGTGATTAGCAAAATGTTATTTTAATGCAAAAATATATACTTGTATTTCATTTGATATACTGTAACAGTGAAAGTAAATAAAATAGATTTAAAAATGCATTAAATTTGTGTCAATAAGTTTCGGGTCTTTGTGGGAGACATAGATTATAGAAGGAATTCTTGTCCCAAAAGGTGGAGGCCTTCCATCCACACCAACCCTGAAATCAATGCAATTATTAGTGTTATTCAGTGTTATCTCAATTGAATTCAAAGTATTTTTTGAATTAAAAATCGCAAACAAATCAAAACTTACTTTCTTTTGAATGATATTCAAGTCTTCGCCGCCCGTGTAGTGCGGATCCAGTATTAAGAACTTGATATCTCCGGTGTCTTCGCTAAAGTCGATGCCAATGATAGTATGGGCCAAAACACCGCCCCCTATCATAATAGGTGTCCCATTTGTGGTGAAATGATGAGCCAATTCGCGGCCTTTGTTGGCCAACTCGGCGCCGGAGTTAACGAACATAATCTTTGACGTGATTTCATACAAATGGCTCAAAACATAACTGACTTCTTGAGAGCCGATCCACTGTCGAGAGCCGACAAACGAGGGCTGCTTATCGCCGACGTCTACCAGCGCCTGTTGGATGTCTGTATGACTGGGAACTGGTTTATCGATATACGACTGGTGCCTAAACCACGACACTATGGTCTGCAGCGATCTGTAAGCACATCCCCAGCCGTTGTCGTCGATCCTGTCCTGCATATAGTGATGGTATGTATAGTCGCCGTAAACCCAATACGTTTGGCCGCCTTTAAGACCCGACTCTTTGAGTCCGATGTGAACTGAAGTTAAATAATCTGTTTTCGGCTTTTCATTGTCTAATAGAAAGCGATTGGATTTCCGGAAAACTGGTCGATCACTTCGAATCAAATATCTTAAATGATATTCTTTGCGACGACTCACGAGTTGTTCGTCACTCAAACTCTTCGGATAAACAATTGATACGAAATGCGAGACATTTTTGGGCCAAAAGTTATACGTTTGCAGAGAAGGCAGACGTTTGTCTGATTTGACACATTCTGTCCATTGATTGCCATATGATGTCAACTGTTGTTTCATTTGATTGGAAATACGAAATGCGAGACATTTTTGGGCCAAAAGTTATACGTTTGCAGAGAAGGCAGACGTTTGTCTGATTTGACACATTCTGTCCATTGATTGCCATATGATGTCAACTGTTGTTTCATTTGATTGGAAAATAATTTAATTAAATATGAAATGGAATTCATTTCTTGGATTCGAGACAATGAGTCGATCCTTATATTCAGTTTCACTTCTTTTAGGTCTTCAGACAATTCTATGTCTTCGGACGTGTCATCACTTATAGTACTTTTACTGCCATTAAAAGCCGTGAACTCGAGAGGACTCTTGTCGTTGGCCTTCTTTTTCCTCATCTTTTCGATCATTTTCTTCTTCATATTCTGCGGCACTTCTATGCCATCAAACAGATCCGGATCTTCTTCCAGATATCCGTACAGATCTGTTAAAGTCATTGAATTGAATGACTTATCCGTCGCCGAGATGTTAGTCTTAAAACACGACTGAATTAACTCCAAGTCATATGAATTGATGTCTTCTTTCGCTTTATTCAACTCTTCCGTCAATTTGCCCACAAAAGTGTCAATCGATGTCTTAAATGTGAGACAAATATTTGCTTTAAGTCTAACGATAATTGTCTGATCGATGGCCTCCTTGTCTTCCACCACTTCATGACTGCATTCACACAACTCTTTGGATTTGATGTCAAAGAATCGGGTCTTCAGCTCCATTTTGTCGCAAATTGTGGTCAAAACAACAAGTTTTCCGCTTTTCTTGCTTTTGCTGTACTTCTGACACAAATCTTTGAGCACTTCTTCGGATGGAGAGGGAGTGAGACAATAGACACCCATTAGTGTAGTGCCGGACGGGATGTCCTTCTCGTTGTCCACACATCCCATACAATAACTCACGTTATTGTCGGCCAAAGACGTGAATCCGAAGACAACTCCACTCTTCACCTCTTCGGCCAATTGCGAGGAAATGTCCCAAAAGTGTAGAAAACGCTAAAAATGTGTCCAAAATAGTGATCACTAATTGGTTTATCAATGAGTGGTTAGAAATACAGACCTCACGAAGACTTTCGACGATTTTGAATACTTTTGCCGACATTTTGGCGCTAATTATGAATACTTTTTGGTGTAAAATAGATGTGAATTAACACTAATTGTGAGACAAATGAGTGACAAATCACTGGATGAGTGAAAACGTGTCAAAACAAAGTCACGTGTTTTTCGAGTGACGTCTCTCTCACTGCAGACAACACTTTGACGTCATTTGAGTGCAAAAAACAAAAGTTTTTAAAAAGTTTTGTAAGTTTTATGAATTTTGTGAGTTTAGTGACAGCATAACAGGTTTTAATGGCAGGAATACCCGGAACATACACTAAGGGATCAGCTCCAGAAGAATGGGACACAACTGGCCATCAGATCCTATGAGATTGGAGTCCTTTTTATACCAAAACTATTTGTATGAAAATTATTGTAAATTTATGTCATTTTAAGTCTATTTCGTAACGAAAGGCAAATCAAGAGTTCTTCGATGTCTCGAAGACTGAAGACTCGAAACAGATGTCAAACACGTCTTCATTTGCGATCCCATACGACATCCCTTTGACTCCTTATTCTTCAAATGGTATTCATTTGAGTCAATGTTTGCTTCAATTGTAATGAAATATGTTTGGATACCCGGCTCATCCTAACACTCAAGGCCCAACTTCGGTATGTTCCCGGACCGGAGATCAAAATGGTTGGTATATATGTGAAGCTTAGGTCATTAGGAACAAAAAAGGTGTTCATTTTTATCGGAAACTAAAGGTTACCGAGATAATCGGGTCAGAAGGTTGCCATTGAAATCCATTATAAAAACACAAGTTTTCACCAATTCAAACTAAGCTGCCCAACTATCAGAATTTACCCAACCAATCTAACCTAACCAACTAACCTAACCTAACCAACTGAGCCGTTTCAAATAGAAATTCTATACATTTTCAATGGCGACTTCTGACCCGATTATCTCGGTAACCTTTAGTTTCCGATAAAAATGAACACCTTTTTTGTTCCTAATGACCTAAGCTTCACATATATACCAACCATTTTGACCTCCGGTCCGGGAACATACGGAAGTCCAGCCGACAGCAATGGATGTGATGATAGTGTGGACACCAGTGAGTGAATGGTACACAATACAGTGAGTGGGGGTTGTACCAGGCAACTTGTATGGTTTGCATGAGCATTAGGTTCAGGGGTGAGCACTGATCAACACATACTGTACGCTACAGTGACCTTAACTGCAAACATGATAACTACAGTACATTAAACTAGTCTACTGTTAAGACTTTATGAATTGCACAGTATATGAAATGAATAAAATATGTGCTATTAATACACATTTTGTTGTTTTTAAATATTTTTCATGTCAAATATTAAGTTTAAAATATCAATATAATAAATACAATGATTCTAATCTTTTAAATATTTTAAAATCTACTTTCAATAAGAACGTTATTTAGATGACCATGAATCATTTACGTGACATTAAGCATGAAAGCCAAAAATATATATATTGAGTGAAATGAATGTCACAATTCATACTTAATGTGCTTGTTCATTCAATAGAAATATTAAAATCAAAATCAAATGAATGAATGAAAGAATTGTGAGTTTTAAAAAATTTTATTCTCAATAAATAGTTTCATTTAAAATACGGTTTATTTTGACACAAAAGGAGAAATCGTATGAATATTACAAATAATGTCTATTAATGAGAACTTGATAACAAAAAAAATTGATTTCCATGTATTTCTCACAATCAGTGGAAATACACTCGTTTTGTCGCTGATATAAGAAATGGTAAATACATAATAGAAAGCTATAAAAGTGTGTCTGAGTTGACAGTTTTGAGACAAAACGAGTCCAAAGGTTTCCTGTCGTGAGTCGATCCAAAGGTCTTTATGTTTAAAGGGAAGCCACAAATCGGATCCTAACTATTAATTAGATTTCAAATACGTTTACAAATACTGTTACTTCAATATTAACGCTATTTTGACGGACAGATTGA